AAGTGTAAGTAGATGTAAGATAGCACTGTAGTAACTGTCATTGATAACACGTTCGGATGGCGTGGATGAAGCCAGGCTTGAATGACGTTTAGGGCCATACTCTTCACCGTCGTCAGCAATTTATGGGCTTTATGTGCAGCCTCTACATAGCAAGTGTTTGTCTGCTTGTATGCACGTTTGTTTTATGCGGGTGGGAGGAGGAGGAGGAGGAGGAGGAGGAGGAGGAGGAGGAACATCAGAGAAGAAACCAGAGGAGACGAGAGAGAGGAAAAGTGAGCCGCGAGTGCATAGGGGGAGCCCGCGCCTCTCCCGGCCTTTCCCTTTGCTGGTAAATAACAGGCCCCTTGTTCTTAGCATTGATATTCTCCTGGAGGGGAAGAGCGGGAGAGGGGAGGAGAGATGGATGAGGGGAAAGGGAAAGGGAGAATGAGAGAAAAACACGGGGAGAGTCATGTGGAAAACAAGGGAGGGAAAATAAGAAATGTCGAAAGGAAGAAGGGAGGTAACACATTTTAGTCTCTCCCTCCTTCCTTTCCTCATCCCTCCCTCTCTCTCTGTCTCTCCCTGCCTCTTTTCCTCGTTTTTCTCGTCTCTCACCTTCCTTCAATTCCATTTTCCTCCCCCCTCCCTCCTTCCTTCCCTTCCTCCCTCCCTCCCTCCTTCCTTCCCTCCCTCTCTCCTTCCCTCCCTCCCTCCCTCCCTCCCCCCTCCCTCCTTCCTTCCCCCCCCCCTCCCTCCAGGAGACGCAACTTTTTTTTTCAGGACCAGCTCTGAATAGGCCGTCAGCTTCCTTCCCAAAGGCCCGGTTGTGCATTATGCAGTAGGTCGTAGATAGGGCGTTCGCAGTGTAGGGATGTGTACAGAGAGGGAGAGAGACTGAAGAAGAGTTTGAGAGAGATGGGAGATGGAGAACTCGAAGGGAGAGGGAAGGGAACGTTTATGAGAAATTATATATGTGTACACACACACACACACACACACACACACACACACACACACACACACACACACACACACACACACACACACACACACACACACACACACACACACATATATATATTTAGTGTGTATATTCTCTCTCTCTCTCTCTCTCTCTCTCTCTCTCTCTCTCTCTCTCTCTCTCTCTCTCTCTCTCTTTCTCTCTCTCTCTCTCTCTCTCTCTCTCTATCTCTTTCTCTCTCTCTCTTTATATATATTGCAGAACTAGAAGGAAGGAAGCGAAATGAAATGAGCACAGGTTGATATTGAACTCAGATTGGCATGTCCTTGTGTGCTGATAATGTCTAGCGCAGGTCAGTGGACCGATTGATCACAACTTTTGACAAATTGGGCTAGAATTAGCCAACGGGAGGGAGAGGAAAGAGAGAAATAAATGTGATGAAAGAAGGGATAAAGGAAAGGGCAGCAAAACGCGAATGAAGTAAATATGTTTATTATCGTCAGTGAAAGAAAGAATAAGAAAAAGATGGAAAGATTGTTTGCGTGCGAGTAGGCGTGGGTTTATTACAATATAGATTTCTCGCCGATATATCTTGTGGTGGGAATTATATCTTTGGCCAAGAAATCATTGCAAAGTAACGTGATAAACGTGGACAAAAAACGAAAGACTAGGGATTCTTTGTTGTCATTTTGAAGAGTTGGATTTGTTTTATGTGTCCAGGCATCCGAAAGACACAGCTGACACGTTTTCATGTCAATATCGGATTGTAAAGAATGTGACTGTTATTCCACAATGCGGTCTGTCTCGAATATTGAATAATGCGTTTCGTAGTGACTTGAAAATTTATAATGAGGACGCTCTGACACGGCGTCTGACAGGAAGTGTATTCCAAATCTTGCATTAATCCACTTATTCGACTCTTCTCTTGTTCCCAGAGGAGAGAAATCGGGACTCTTGGTGTTATTGTTTTGATGATGATGATTGCCTCCATCATCGGCCTGTGAGAGAGATCAGAACGTGTGATTTCTTTCGGATTTTTAAATGCCGAGACCATGACGACCGTTAATGTTCTCGTCACAGTGGCATAAGCAGTTGCAATCAGGAGTAAGTGCAGTGTTAGCTTTTGCCTAGAATAGAGGACTTCTTTTTGTCCAAAGAAGGCGATCTGGACTCAGACGACGGTGGAAATGTGTGGCATGAAAGACTGAAGCTGATTCCACTTCATGCAGTTTTCATGCATTTTGTGGGTCTGTAGGGCGGGGGAGGTGCTGTAGACACACGCCATGAGTTTGAAATGATAGTTAATAGTACGAACGAATGTAGACACGGAAACGAGCCGTTTTTATATGTAGAACATCACCGAGGTACCCGGAGTAACCTTTTTTAAAGAAGAAAGTAACAACATAAGAAAGACCATGCATACCTTTAGTGTATTTTTGGCAGGAATCTTATTAATGCCGCAATTTCGCATTCTGGGGTAGATGCGCTAATCAAGTCTCAGGCCAGCAGGAGGCTCTCCTGGGATTGTGCGCTCGGCCTGCTCGGTCTGATCCATCCTCCGTCAGACATAATTGCAGCCTTGACCCACACTGCCGCCCCATCATCGTATGTTCGTCAGATGTTTGCTTGCTTGCTTGTTTGCTCGCTCT